GTGCTTCATCAAGTTATTCCCACAAAAACAAAAAGCTTATTTCCCTGCTGATAGAGCTGGCTGTTTAAAGATGATGTCTCTTCAATTCCTGATTAATTATCAATATGTTAAAAGGATGAGGCTCAAGCTAATGTACTCTTCCAAAACCTGAAATAGTTCCAAGTAGTAGCGTTCACAATCCAGTCAAAAGCTGATATTTTTAACAATAAAGTGCGGAGTTCAAGTATACGGGTATACGGGTTATTACAGTATAATTGATCAAAGTTAATTTCTTCTGATGTGGTTTAATATAAATAGCTGAAGCATATTGCTATATAATCTCTTCTAGTTAGCTATTAGCACATATATTAGTGTGACATATTGACAAACTTTTCTGTAATTTTCTAGGTATTTACTAATTTCATTCGATTTTACCTGATGTATCATTAGTCATCTTCGTTTTCACGCCAAACCGACTTTCCTTTAAATCATTAACGTATAGACACTTATCTATTTTTACGAAGATCGCGCAATTAATAATTTGTGTTTTAATGAAAATTAGTCGATTTTGTAAGAAATCAAATTGAAAAAAAAGGAAAGCCAAAATCACATTCATGATGCCTTATCTACATCATGCAACTGGTGACTCGCGAAAATATTAACAACAATAAGCAGAAATTTTGCGGAAAAAGGAATTAACATAAAGATGTCGCCGCGATGAATTTAGGTAATAGTGAGTTTCTTGTAAAAGGGTATGAATGAGTTGAATAAATAATGTAAACTACAAAAAAAGACGGTTTACGTTAAAATATAGTACACTAAAAACTGCATAGACCACGGCAACCACTTCATATATTCAGTTAAAAATTAACAGATCATTTTCAGTGCTTAAACTGTGTACATAATCCTAAGCAATTATAATCAGATTCTATACATAGTCACTTTCGTTGCTCAAGTCAAACCGAGTTTCTCCAAAACATTTTCAAACACTAAGCTGAGCATATCACATATTCCTTCCTCTCAAATTAACTAAGCATTTCAGATGCTTAAATTGTGCATAAGTTCTAAGCAATTGTCATCATCTCGTAAGTTCAAGACAACTACTGTACTTCAACCATCTTTGGCTTTATGCCAAACTGGTTCCTAATAGTACACTCATTAATTGATCATCGTTACTATTTCAAACCGGTCTTATATACTCATACACAGAAGTTATGCTACTAATATCGTTGCTATCATCACGTTTATATATTGTATGTACATATCTATTATCTCTAAGTGCGTGTACAACAAAACTAGCTTATATAAACATGCAAATCTTGGAAACAATGCTCGTCGCTCAAACCAAAGTAACACAGCAGGGAAATCGTATAAAAAGGTCGCGCGAACATTGATCGTTTGTGAATTGTGGTGCAGCAATCGGCGATTAAAGTACAAAAAAAAAATTCGTTAGGAATGTGACTATTAGGACAATATAGTATAAGTCTGTTCTCTTTAAGACGATAAGTATATTCCATTTAAGAAGAAATTTTAGATGGTAGGAACTAATAGTTAGTCCATCACCTGTGGGATTCTTTTCGATCGGTTGGTGGTATCCAGACTATTTCGAAGGGGGAAGGTAGAGTGACGGAGACTATTAGTCCATCACTCTGAGTTACTGCTAGAATGGACTAGAACCTCATTAACCGCTAGATTGAATCCCATATGAGAAGAAATTCTGGGTGGCGGAGGCTACTATTTCACCCCTCTATGTTTCTCGTAGAAAAGACTAGAATTTCCTTAATAAATATGTCCTTAATAAAGGACTTTCTTGCCTTAGCGAATTGCAAGCTAATACTGGAGTATCCTGTTACCAAATGAGTAAACCGATTAAAGCCGCGAAATCAAACAACTGGTTAATAATTGTTGTTTCTTCCGAACACATAATGTCAACCGTGACACTCGGCAATTATTTAAACCTACACCGTTATATTGCATATGCTTGCATTATTTTGACCTATCAGGCGTAAGATAGAGGAATTTCCTGAATAAGGAAGGAAACATACTGCCTCTACATTATATCGAAAGCCCCTCAATTTTTTCTTGAAATTTGCAAATTTTCTTGAGAAGGGCCAGCTCGTAAGTCTTGAGTTATACCTCATGTATGAACACCCGTTTCACTTCTTCAAACTATGACCATTTTTTTGAAAGTGTCTTTGAGTTTGACTATGCACCTGTATAAATATATCACCATTTGGTAAGCAATGGCAGTTAATAGATCAACATTACGAAATTATTAAAAACTTAGCTGCAAGTACAATAATTACTTGGAGCAGCCTTCAGCCATAATCCTCTTGTCAAGCATGAAATTATTATGAAAACATTTTCACTGTTATGGCAATAACTGATGCCGTACTTGGTCCAGGTATTTTAGAACAAGAACTACGTGAAGAAGAAGACAAGTAAATCCAAACAGAAGCAAAAAAGAAGTATTTTGCCTTTGGACAACTTCAATACTATAGCTCGAAACAGGACGGCAACAATCTCCTATGAAAACACCGTATTGGTGCATGTATTGACTATGAGGAAAATAAAGACGCCGGATTGCAATTCCATTAAAACTATAGGAAGAGGTTGTATAATTGAAAATATCTGAACTTAAAAGGCTGTATTGCGTAAGTGGTAAAAGCGGCTAAAATATTTTATTACTCGAAATAGCTTAACCAAAAATGTTAATGCAGAGCACACAGAAAGCGGATATGTTCATGGGCTAATTAATGTAAAATCTATTGGTGACTCAAAACACTTTTTAAGCTTTACAGCCCTCATTACATATTATAAATGAATGAATGAATACATGCACTTTTTGAAAAGAGGAAGCAACCATTACACTTAAGGCAGAAGCTCAACTGTGGACTGATGGCAACCCAACATATAAGATAGTGGCCGAAACGGTTAATTCAACCGATGTGGTACCATTAGATAACGTACTACTTATTTTACTCCAGAGCAGAGCGGTTCGAAAAGGCTGTCAGGGTGAAATGAGTTTCTGTAGGAAAGTTGTAACCTAATATCCTATCTGTTGAACACCCGTTCTAACACCTCGGGCCTAGCTAAAAGATATCTTTAAAATGTATTTATACTCATATAAAGCAGTTTTCAAACAAAAATAAGTTGGTGTACTTTCATTGAGACGATCAGTAGTTATGAGGCTGAAAACAATGTAGAGTTTGGGATGAAATTTTTCGAGTTGATTATGAATTTAGATAGTAAATTATACATTTTCTTACACTTTTCTCTGCCACTTCGCATTACGTGTGTAAAACGTGCAAATCTTTTTTTGAAAGAGGCAGCTAAATGACCATTTTCTAACACAAAGCCTTCGAGAAAAGACAATCAGAAGGAATATTTGAGCACACAAAGACAATTTTGCTATGATGGGATTGCTGGTACGAGGTTAGTGGTAAAAATTTCAAGTTTATTGTGATATAAAAACACATCTATACGCAATTTCAAAACTTAGAACGAGTGTTTCTTGAAACAAGATTTTTTATAATAGCACGCAGCACAAAAGTCTCCATTTTTTTATTTGAATTGTTTACAATATTCCACTTGAATTCTTTTATGAACAAGACTGCTAAGTCAAGGAAACCAAATGAAAAAACATCTTGCAACATATGATGTATCTGCGATGTTACTTAGGATACGGGGCTGAGGTATGTGTTAAAAAATATACACATTGAAATCATGACAAGTAACATAATCCGGAAACAACGTGAAACATCTTGATTTAAACATTAACAAAAAGGTTTGTACCCTGTATATGTCCATAATAATTTGAAATGAAGTTGAAATGCTTTGCTGTGCAGCTCTAGAATGTTCTTAGTCAACTATTGTGACTTGAACTTTCTCAAATAACTATTCCGCACATAACCCCACTAAGCGAAACCTTATTGACTAATCCAAACTTCAACTAACGAATTTTTGAAAATTTCGGAACTAAGAAGCCTCCGTATTTAATGAATTGACGAACAAAAAAAAATTTATCTGCAATCATAGGCCAAACTTTTTATTATTTATTTAATTGAATTTAACGCAACACTTTTCGAAACGCAATGATAAATCCAATAAGAATTGCCTATATTTCTAATTGAAAGCTACTACATCAATTAAAAACGGTGTTTTTAAACATAAAAAGTGAATGCCATAATTTCAGAAAATAATGTAATATATATCCCAGCGCAACCAAACATTAGATATAAGAGAAATTACGTAATTTCTGTGACCCAAATATAAAGCTTTTTGTGTTATTGAATGAAGGTGACCAGACAGATTATTTGGATATATTTGTATCAAGATTTGCAAAAGAATTGAACATTGGTTGCAATTTTCGTGTGATACACTGCTTCACTGCTAATGCACTTTGGAGGTGCTCTTAAACAAGAATCGGATTTAGCTGTCGATGTTACGTATATAAGTACATAAAAAGCATTATAATTTAAGTGCTAATAAATGATAGAACAATTTCAAGCTTTACAGATAAATATTTTAAGCGGCGTTATTAGTATTGAAAGAAACTTCAGCCTAGCAAATGGAAAAGTACGTAAAATTAATAGTAATTACTGCTTTGCACATATTGCAAATGTAAAATTCCTTAGAGATTTAATAGCAATTTGAGGAGAAAAGGTAGATATAATTAGTAAACATATATATGCCATACAGAAACGACCATGTAATGAGCCTTGACGGGATATTAGGTTAATCTTCGCATTTGTAACACGCAAAAATACGGAGTAAAAGCTTTATAAAATAAACGCCTTCCTGGTGTAAGATCCTGAATTCATTTAATCGTCTCCACATGCTTATTCGTCTATTTTTCGTTGAACGTTTGCAATCAAAAGGATCTAAGTAAAAAATTTGAAACTTAGCCTATATGTTCCTAGTTAATAGCCCGAGATCAAGCTTACAAACTGACTTAATAGATGTTCATCTAAAACCCGTACACAAACGGTCGAAAACCAGTAAAGTAGAAAGCAAAGTGGTTAAATGATCACGGAAGATTAATTTCCACGTCCATATATTAAATAAAATATTTGCACATCCAATGTAGTTAAAGGTGTTCAAATCAGTAATTTGCAAATACAACTCTTTAAGTATTATGTGATTAAAGTTCCTAACTTGGGCAAACTTAAAGCACAGGAAAACTTAGATTTATCCATTGCTGAAATCAACACAAATTATGAGACGATTTTGGAGGAAATAGTTCGAGATCTTTTCGCATGACGTTGTGTGGTTATCTGTTGCTGTTGCTGATTTTTTGCTTGAGCTTCAGCCAACATGGTCACAGTTCGTCGAAGTTCTTGGAGTTCAGCTTGCATTTTATCGAAAACCGGTCTAGAAAATAAGAAGAAAACGCAGTGAAATTGAGAGAATTCACTTATAGTTCTTTAATAAGTACTTGTCCACAGTATCCGCAATAACTGGAGAGGTAACACATGATAGAGGTCCTGATAAGGGCATAGCTATTATTGGTTGCACAGGTTGTTTTGGTCCAGACGAAGGCGCTGCATTCTGTAAACTAGCTAAAGGTACCGGGGTTATGTAGGGAGAAACTGTAGATGTGGGAATAGCAGGCGTCATCACACTGGATGAAGCAATACCAGTCAATGTAGGCACACTTTCTGCGCTGGCTACTGCAGTTATCTTCAAGTTCGGATGCATGCGTACAGGTAATTTTATAGGCGACGAGTTGCTATTTAACGCGGGCATTACAGTACCGCTGGTTACTGGAGTGGTAGATACATTAGTCAAAGAGCTTGCCGAACTTTGCATAGGCAATGCGTTTACCGTTGAAACGAGAGGTGCGGTTGTAGGAGCCACAAGACCTGCATTCCCTTGTCCAGTCATTAATTTCTTTAACATTTGATCAGCGCTTTCCTTTTGTGAGGCTAACAATTTCTGCATGGTAGCCGGATCATTCTTACTAATTTTACGCAAATAGGCCTCATCTGTATCTACTACCACATAATTAACTACATGAACATGAGTGTTAGGCACAATGCGATAAATAGCTTTGGTGGCACTATCGCCACTCGGATTTTTTATGTCCATTAACTTAGCGGAGCTGCCGTCTACTTGGAAAACCGACGTAAATCCATTTACCAGCATTGGTTTCTCCATAACCATAGGTTCAGAAATAAATTGGGTGGTTTTACGTTTCGGCACCATAGACACTAACTTAACCACATTGCAATCTGGATTCTCGCAACGACGTTCGGGCGGATTTATGTGATGATTAGACATATTATCAACGGGTGTGACTACAGATCCATTTAACGATTCCATAATTACAGATCAGATGTGTTCTTACTTCTTCTTTACCGCCAAATAATGTATCTTATTGTTTGCATGAATGGGCACATTAGATCTATGTCCTTATATCTAGTTTTATTACGACCGACAGAAAAACACTGTGAACACATTTAAGTTCCTTCTGTTTTTTTTTTTATATCTTACTTGTATCTTTAAGAATTTTTATTCCACACATCCCAGTGCAGAAAACTTAATAATGCGAAAAGTTTTTATTTACTTTAAATATTTTAATACTTTCCACCTTAAAACACCTTTTTCCACGTTCCAGTTTATTACTGAAAAACTGCTACCAGTTACAAAGCAAAGCAAACTTTGCACATGAAACGTATGCATACTTTCGTAGAAAACGTGGTGAATTTTAGATTTGTTTTACAACACTTAAGCGTGAAAGAAATAGATACTACAAAATATTAACAAGAATTCATTATGGCCGCCACTGGAAGAACTTTGCCTTATAAAGCCAAGCAAAAAAGTGGAATGGATATACGTTGAATGTACAAGCATCTCTTTCGAGTTCATGATGACAATGTTGTATTTTAACAAATTCATGATGGCTGCCATCGAACATGCAGTCAACTCAGCAACTTACTCTCAAACGTATGATTTTTCTGAGAATATTAATCTAGTCGCGGTTACATTCTGTTTGAGAGAGGAGTCTGATTATGTTGTAATAGGACTAGGTTGGTAGGTTGGATGTGATAGCAAGAAATCTTAAATTTTAAGATATGTGCTCGTAATGGGTATTATAAAAGCTGATGGTTATATATTAAAACGTGTAATTTTTCTCCTAATATATTATAACAGCTTTTTTGCTTAAAATAACCACTGCAAGATTATTAATTTTGTTATTCCAGAAAGCCGAGTATAGCGTCCAAAAACAATTCTTGCACATCTTTTATAGAAAAACGAAAATTCAAGCAGTTCAATCTGCTGCTGCTGTTATTGATACATAGTAAACTAAAATACTCAGCAACTTATTGCAGACGAGCTTCACGTTGGTATTCAAATGATAGTTTCCCTACGACGTGCAAATTTGTCAATATCTCAGATGTTAATTACAAAAATTTTGATGCTCTATAATAGGTAGTGGACGCAGTTGATTTCTTGTGTAGAAGTTTTTGCCGTAGAGGCCTGCGGCCGTTGTAGGCGGGTCCTTTGAAAACTTTAGATCAATTCCAAATTCTTTTGCAATTTTGTGAGTGATGTCCTTATTTTCGCCAACGGAGTAGTGTTCACCACAAATACTACAAAGATGTACAGATAGGCATACGAACAGACGAATAGGCGGACATGTTTGGATGGATTCCAAATTTGAAGGTGGCCAAGAACTTATATACTTTATAGGGTTTTTGAAGCTTGTTTCAGAGCATTATAAAGGTATTAAAAAAAAAAAAATTTTAATACGCTGTAATATTGACTAGGTGTGGTCATTTTGTCCATTTTTTACAGGTACTATAGCATAGCTCATAGAATATGCATTCAAATTTTTGTATATTTAGCTACTATATTTATGACTAAGCAAAAAAAACAATTTACCATTCCTTTGAAAAACAAAACTGTTCGCAGTTTACGTGGTACTATGGGTATGTCCTCCAACCGATTTAGCGATTTTTAATACCAGCCCGCGTGCAAGAACTTTCAATGTTTTTGCCAAATTTGAAGTCAGTAGCTTAATTTATGCGGCCAATGCATACATCAGACATTACACAGACGAACAAGCGCACATGCTTAAATCGACTTAGAATTTAGAATGCTGATGAGGGACCTTGTAGGATCTCTGGTGCTTCCTTCTCGTGGTTGCAAACGTTTTGACAAAATGAATATACTACATTTCCTGTTTACATTATTCCCAAAACATTAAGGGCTACGTTAGTTTCGTCAGTCTCAATAGTTTCAGTAAGTAGAGTCTAACTACACCTTGCATTTAATTTACCAAATATATCTGTTTATAGAAGACGAAGACATCGATCTGACTAGATAAACAAAAATAATATGTCCAACAATATATAACACAAACATAACCGAAACTTTTAATATAGTAAGCGCAGCGAAGTTAAGCACCAGTTATTTAATCAGTTTTTTAGATGAGCTTTTCAGATGTGAGGTCACGCCCTCCTTGTAGTTCTTTTTTTTTATTTTGTTTTTATGTATAAACGGGAGCCTTGCGGTAGAAGTGGATACATATGAAGTATCCGTAGTTCTATTATTAGCAATAGATATTAAACACACCTTTGAAAATATAGTCTTGTGGTACATAATACATATCGAAATCGGTAAGAAGCTAAAAGTTTACTTTGTGAGGGCTTTTGGCAAGCTATTTCTCTTGAACATTGTTAACGAGATATTAATAATCTTATTTAAATAAATTTCTCCTCATAATTCCTTGTTGCTTGAGAAGAACATAAAGTATAGATTTAATAAAATTCTTATTTAACAGTGTTTTACAGTGCATACGTAACTTTACAAATTTGGTTATTTTTTACCTGTGACTTTCGAAAATTTCTAGTGCCAAAATCTAGGCAAGAATGACTCAATACAATAGAGCTTAAAACTGTTGACACCATAACGATAACAAAAAGCTGCTCAAGTAATAATTTAGATTTTTAGAGAAATGCATGAAATCAAAATATGAAAAAATGAACGCAACATTGCAACATATAAGCTGAAAACAACATAACACAGTGTCATCTGATCAACAAGGAACATATCATATAGTGCAAAATCTATGGAATAACTGGGTGTAGATTTTCATACCACTAACATGCGTGAAAATTTGATAATCCTGAATTATGAAAGAAAGTACAAAATTCAAGTCGAGCAATAATTCAATATAAATAAAACGAAAATTGCATAAAAAATTGTGTCAGCGCAAACATATTTTTTATTAAAGCACCTAATAAACTTAAAACATATAAATTGATATTTGAAACAAGTTAAAGATTTTTATTTCAATTGTACACGCGACACTCATTTCTTCATTAAGAAAAATGAACAAAAAATAAACAATAAGTAAAATAATCCTTGTCCACACTGTGGCACCGCTCGAATTGAGAAAAAACGTATCAATTATAAGGGTAATCATGTACCACACCCCAAATTTTGTCCGAAAAACAATACCAATTTTGCACTTAATGCCACTGATTTTCCACCTCTCCCGAAGTCTTCTCAATCCTTCAATTTATTTCGATTTGCGTAGATTTCAATGTACATCAGGTACGTTCCTGTTTCGATATTTCGTTTTGCTCCTGCGCTTTTTTATTGCAAAAACATCTTAATTAGTAATAACGGCGCCACTGTTTATAGAACGTCCTTCATGGGTGTCCGTCAAGGCTTTCTATTAAGAATAAGAACGTTATTTGTAACAATCTGACGTCTCTCCAATTTTCATTGCAAGTTGAAATGCTTAGTCTTTTCCAATAACCGCAAGGGTCCGGCTGTTACTCTAGTCTGCATGTACGCATCCATTACTTCCTAGGTATATATAGAAAATTCTTTTCTACACCTAATACTATTATGGTCGTCAATCACAACTCCTATTTAACGATTGGTTTAAAATCTATGTGGAGTGTATTTTGAGGATCCGATCTTTCGTGCATCATTAAATTACACACAAGTTTAATAGGACCAAAATTACGGTAAGCATGTTAACTCCTTTTGGCTGTTTCAGATGAAGACCTCTTGAGACTTAGTTCAGTGGCACTTAGTTCAGTCTGCACTTGGTGCCAAGACCTCCGCTTATACTCTAAGTTTGGAACAAATTACGGCTTTGCCTGAACAATTTCGTATAAATGCTAACGTTTACATCAACAAAATCTTATCTGCTATAAACCTTCTGGTTTTACCTTTTCTCCATAATCTCATACCGTTCAGCTTTTTTCATTCGTTTTCCCAAATTTATGCTCAGAAACTTGATAATTTCAATATTCCGTAGCTCGATAAACACATTTTATTCAAAAGACCTTGTGAATCTCACATTTCATACGCTACAAAACAAGTTTTTGCCTGTAGAAAACGCTGTAATTGAACCAGAAGAAGCGCAACCGCGCTGCTTAAACTCAGTTAATGCCATAGGTCACCATTTCTCTTACACCTTCACGGACGGACCTAAGGAGCCACCCTAAGAGCCCCATTTTCACAGCCGAATACCTTGCAATTTTGGAAGTTACTCGTCTTGTAACCATGCAAAATCAGAAAAATTTCTGATTGTTTCAAGAAGTAAATCAGTTTTATTAACTCCACAATGATTCCCGGCAAGTTGAACTCATCCATATCTACGGGAAAGTAAATCTTTGTTATACAATTAAAAATCGGAAACTTTCAATTTTCATTTTCTCTGAATACCTAGTCATATCGGCATTCACGGAAACATCATTGCATTTGCATTTTGCGAGTGAATGAATGCCGGTGGTCGTCCTTTAATTTCGTCTGACGTAAGAAGCTGTATGCAAAAGGCAAAAAATTCGCAATTGACACCAACAATTAAAAAATCCTCATATTTTAGCTTTCATTTTTATATCCTTTGGCTCAGCATATAAATGTTACTTCGTTCTCAAAAGTTGGCTGCTTATTTATCAATTTTTCCTTTTTTAAGCGAGCACAACTTAAATATATCAAATGTAACGGTTAAGCTCCGAATCTACTTTTCAAACAGCTAACTATTACTACTCGTTGACGATACTACTTTCTTATCATCTTCTATTACTTTCCATACATACATACACTTCTTTAAAAAATAAAAAAGAAAATAAATAAATAAAAAATTTAAAAAAAGTGAACAAATAAATTAGAAAAATGTAAAAACACATAGTATAATAATAATGAAATTAACAACAACAAAATTGAAAAAATTTTTCTTAATGTAACAATAAAATCCACTATAAGGAAAAATAAATAAAAACATATATTATTGCGAACGGTACACTTGCGAGATGTGGACACGTTTAATAGCGTCAGCAAACAATAACTTAAATTAGTTGTCAACTTTATTAAGGCCCAACCAAAGAACTTTGTGTTCGCACTGTGCCTGTTTTTTGAGGACGCGGCGAATCATTTCTTGTTGATTCGCTGAGTATTCAAGAAGAAAAAGAAGTCATTAAGCACTGTAATAATTTAGTAAATAAATTTTGCTCTGTATAAATAATCAAAATGCTACCAAAAACGTTTTGAAACGATTTGGCTTTTCAATTGTAAATAGTTATCCAAGAATCAGTCAGGACACTAGATTCGAGGAATGTCCTAAAGCACAAAGCACCTTAAAAGCCGTACTATAGAAGGTTAAGTTAAATGAATTTGTGTCAAAGATTCAACAAGATTTCGTCAATGAGGCTAATAAAATAAAATCCAGTGGAAATCACTGCTGCGAATTCGTCAAACAAAATGATGAATATAATATCAACAAAGT